AGGGGGGGGTTCAGCCATGGCAACAATCACAGGTTGACAAATCCCCGAACCCCTACACTGCCTCAGGCTGCCTCGAGCCTGTTCACCCAGCCAGAGTGAGTTGTCGCCCAGTGCACCACGCAACGTCGTTTTGTTGGACCCACGTGTCCTCCTTCTTCTTCCACTCCACCGGGTCAGCCGCCAGTGTGCGCCATTCCGCCACCCCCGCAGCTCTGTTGAGCCGCACTTCTTCGTTGGAGAGGCGGGGAAAAAAGGACGCTGGGTGTCTTGCTCCATCTCGCTGTGCCTGTTGCCTTCGCCACCATGGCAACGTGCGGTAGCTGTCCATCAGGCTGGTCCCTAGCCGCGGCTCGCATTACATGTCCTCGGTACTGCCAGTGCCTGCGGAGCCACGTTGTGCTCCATCTTTCCATTCCTGCATTATACAGGATTTGACGGGCCGTTCGGAGGCTTCTCATCCTGAAGTCAAGCCAGCTCTCCTCCGACTTTCGTTTGCGCCCTGTCATGCGCGCTGCGCGCCACTCAAGGCACCCATGGCCTGGTAACTGGGAGGCGCCGCTGACGCATACCACAGGGCAGCACCCCCAACCGCAGCTCTGAACACCTGGAGTCTTTTCTTGATAGGCCCACGGCACTCAAGGACATCGCGGCTGGCGAAGTGCTTCTTGCGTGCTTTTGCCATGCCGGTGTCCATCACCGCTGCATTGCAGGCTTGAAGGGCACCACGAGTTTGACACCCATCACTTCCAGGGACTCCGACGATTGCACACACAGACCGTCTAAACTAATCTGTGGCAGGCTAGTGGCGTATGGCGAGCTATAGAAGACTGTCTTCTTCGGGTTGACAGCCAGCCCCCACGTCTGCAGCTCCCTGCTAAGAATGGCACACTTCTTTTGAAGGGATTCTCTACATGTGTCCCACAAGATGCTGTCGTCCATGTACAACAGCGAGGAGAGGGCCATGTCGGGGGCACCTTTCAGTGTCTGTAGCCACTCCTCCTTACTTTGAGCGCGGTGTAGGGCACATTCCATCGCCACTGCGAAGATAAAGGGGCTCTCTACTGAGCCTTGTCTGATTCCTCTGGTTTGGCTGATATAGGCAGGCCCCCATGGCGTCCTGACTTGAGCTTTGCCTGGGTCCAAGAGCTGCCTCCATGCCTCGAACTCTCTCCACATGCTCGGGGGAAGGTTGTCTCTCAAATGCTCAAGGACTCTCCATCTGTGGTGGAATGGTAGGCTTTAATTGATATCGAGTTTCAGCCAGCTCAGGCCGAAGCGCCACTCGGTCTCTAAGAAGAAGGTTCTCATCACTGCAAAAAGATAGTCGGAGGTCTGCCTTCCCCCCAAGGCGCACTGCTCAGGGCCTCGAGGCTGGAGTGCCCGCCTCGTTCGATTCAATAGTATGCCGCCATAGACCTTGCTAACAGCCGAGCTCAAGCTGATCGGGCGGAGATCCGACGGGGACTCGGGCTTACTCTTTTTGGTCAGCCACTCCTCCGGTATCGGTGCCCCTATTCGAATCGACTCCATCCCTGCTAGGAGGGATTGTTCTGAGGTGGCATTTTTGCACAGCTCCTTGACCAGCTCATAGGATGTGAGGTCTAGTCCCACCGCTCTTCCATTTCTACCCTTGCTCACTACCTCTCGCAGCTCCTCAACCTGGAAAGGGACTCCATTGCTGGCTTCATGTTCCCACTGCACCGTGACACAATCTTCGGCCGCTGCCTTGAAGAGCTGTGCAAAATGATCCGTTGTCTGAGAGGGTCCTTCTTTTGGGCATAGGCCTCCTCTGTAAGGTGGACGGCCCACTCTGCCCGTGTTGTGTCCCTCAGATCCTTCATGTCCTTCCAGCTCCCCTGGCTGGCTCGCTGTACATCCACTCATCTCGGGCTCTCCTGCGGGCCTGCTGGGCTTCCTCCACACTTGCTCCGATCCAGTTTGCTTAGCCCTAAGGCTGCCTTCACGTAGGCAGGGTCACGATACCTAAGCCCTTTGCGTGGTTGGGTAAAGGCCTCGGCCAGTTGCTGCATTTTGGTCTGGTTTAGGCAGTCCTGGGTGGGGATCTCACCCATCACGGCCCTGGCTGCCGGGGGCCTAGAGCAAGCGTCACATGCAACCTGTCATGGTCTCCACCAATCTGCTTGTACGACTCCTCGGCAATGAGGACCACTGCTCTTCTCGTTCCACAGGTGGCAACCCCATCGATCTGCCTTCCTGTCACCCCTCTGCGCCCGGACGGCTTGTAGGGGTGTCCCACTGTTTGTCGTCTGGCGAGTGGAGCTGGTACCTTCTTTGTTTAAGCTCAGACAGGAGGTAGTCTGCTCTTCCTGACGTAGGCATGATCTGGCCTCTCGCTCCAGCTGCTCGGGTCCATCTGAGCTGGGTATTGAAGTCGGCCAGGAGCACGCTCGGCAGTGTGGTTGGTGGCCGCAGCGACAGCACATCATGTGCCTCTTCCGCTGTTCGGGCATCCGACACTCCAATGCTCATTCTGGCAGAGCAAACCCACAGTTGTGCGCCTGTGCTCACTTGGCGGAGGCGGCGCCTTTCTACGAAGGCAGATGTACTCTGTCGGCGAGAACATGATTCCATTCCCTCTCCATTGGTCTTCTTCCCTATACTGGACGAGCGTCTTGCCATCATGCTTCGTAGTATGCCACCCTGCTGCTGCTCTGGGAAGTTCTTGGAAGGCAAAATTGCCCGGCTCCCACTCTCAACAGTGCTATACTTTATGGCTGCGACCGCCGTTTCGACCGTCTTGCCACCGATGTTCCATGAAACAAAGGCAACTTCACCTCATCGGCCCTAACCCCTACAGGGTTGCTTTCCAGGTGATCATCTCTACATGCAATGTCCTCGGAGCCAATCTGAAATCTGAACACGAGCCGGCCGGCTATGTTGCGACATGCCCCGCACTGTCTGGCGGGACGACTCGGCAGCTCCAAGAACTGAGGCTATACAGTCTTTCTCGAATTCAATGTACCCATCTTGTTCATGTCACTCAAGCTTCAGGAATTTTGGGGAATTTCGATCCCTGTCGATGTTTTCGCATCCGAGCTTGCTAAAGTGCTGCCAGGCTCGAATTTCCCCAAAGTTCCTGAAGCCTGAAATGCGAAAACATCAGCAGGGATCGAATTTCCCGAAAATTCCTAAACTCCTGGCATCTATGGGGAGTGCCTGGCTTCTTGTTGCTCAGATAGTGGGACTTTTGGGGAATTCGAGCCTGCCGATGTTTTCGCATCCGAGGCTGCCCACCTCCCATGATCCACTGCTTACAAAAAGCAGGTTCGGGTGGATCATGGGGGGGGGGGCGTGAGCATACATATATATATATATAAATAAATATCACGGAAGCTCTCCCCCAGAGAGCCTTTCGTTTCNNTATATATATATGTATACATATCTATATATATATATGTGTGTGTACATATACATATACATACATATATATATATACACACATAGACACACAGACACCTGGGATACTTGGAGTTGTCGAGACATGACACAGACACTGTGTCATCGTATCCAGTTCATGTAAGGCCATCATTCTATCTACATGTAATGTGCTATGACGCTTAGAAGTCATCTGCAACGTGGTTGTAACCAGCAGCCTCGGATACCACTCACTCACATGTCGCTATCCTTCCTAACGCATAAGGGCCAACTGTGCATCTTGGTTCTGCCTGGCCTCCGCTGGCGTGCTCCGTTCTTCAACATCGAAGCGGACCTCCACTTGGGCTTCCGAGTCTGCATCGATCGGGGGTTAGGGTTTGAGGGTTTAGGGACCGAGACTCGTGACCAAAAACCCGCTGGGATGCCAGTGTCTTGTAAAATCGGTATTTATACGTATAGCACTGTATGCAAGCAGATTTACCTATGAAGGGGCGATGGCTTCAAAACGTGCAGGCTGGGTTGGGTATCGGTTGGGGTATCGGTAGAACACACAACTAGCCCCGTGCCTATAGCCATAATTTGAGGCTATGCAAAGCCTTGCTGAGGGCTGAGTGTTCAGACACGGTTACACATTGACATATGAGCTCTGCGGGTATCGGGTCGGGAATCGGTAATCCCAGGCCTAAACAAACGCATCCCGGAGCCATTCCATCTATGCAAGCACTTGTGGACGCCATCAACAACCCAGACTGTTGGAAGCCTTGGGTCGGCCCAGCATACAGCCTAGACTATGGCTATGGGGTTGTTGACGGTGGCTCAACTGAGTACAAAGTTGTGACCCGAAACTTGCAAACACGTGCATGCGAGCAATGCTCTCAAATGTACTCTTGCCATTAAGTTACGAAGGGAGCTCTGGTTGAGCACACCTCAAGGACCTCGGAAGGCGTCTGCCGGCCGGCCGTTGTATCCGGATAGGCCTGAAGACAAGCAAACGAGCACAGATCACTGGCTCGACCTCGCAGCATTTCGCCTCCAAAAGCTGTTGCCGGAAAGCGGACCACGAGCTGTCAAGCAGCTCCGCGAACGCCTGAAGCAAACACGGTGCTTCGGAGTACAACGAAAGATGCCGTGCTATCCACGAGACGACTGGCAAGGCAAGGCCAGCATGTTCAAGTCAATGCCTCGCGATTCGTTGTGCGGCCAATGTTGCTGGGCCACATGGCGACACTATCGTGATGTGTCAGAATTTCCAATATGCGACTGTGGTGTTAAGCGTCACGATGGGGTGATATCGTGAATCTCGAACTAGGAGTCCCGGCTGCCGAATCCAACTGTAATGTGGGGTCGTTTAGTTTCGGAAAGTCTCAAACCACGGCGTGCAATAATATTTGTGGAACAAAAGGCGGTGCGTGCGGTGGTACTTGCTGTGACAGCTTGGTCCGAGAAGCCGCAGCACCCAGGTTGTTTGACATGCAATGAGTTGGCTTTTAGCTGCATGTTTGTGCCACATCCTCGGAAAGCTTCGAAGATTCAGGATTCGGCGTTTGCTTTGCAGTAGAGTCATGCTTCAGCATTGCGTGCTTTGGAGCTCGAGTCGGAACTTGTCATGGCTTAGCACTGCCTATCACTTGATGCTTGCAGCAGCTTCCTTCCCGGCCGCTCGGTTGTTGATTACCGGACTGGCTTTGTTGCAAGAATGGAATTCCTCTGGGCCGTGGAAGCCTCGTGGACTTGACGAGCTTCAGAGTCTCCTCGGAAGGGGACCACTACTGCTTTGCGTGATTTGCACGATGCCACCCTCTGAGTCGCCATCCAGGATCGTATCGAAACCTGGACGCCCGCTGGAACCTCGCCCGTGAGAAGAAAGGTCCGAAACTACTGCAGGATGGTAGGCCGCGGAGCTCCGAGCTCCCTGAGATGCCCGCGGTGTGCCCAGCAGCATTTCATTGTGAAGCGCAGGTCTGCGGGGGTGTCCTGCAAGCGGCTTCTCGCAGACCAGGCTGCAACTGTCGTGCCTTAGGGTCGAGAGCCTAGGGGACGAGCACAGGGGCTTCGCACATGGTCAGCATGTGGCAGACTGGTTGTGGCCACTTCGCATGATCTGCTTAGAGTGCAACTGCACGCTTCAGACAGCTTCCCCATTGCATGCCGAACCTGTGGACAGCCCGCCTATTGCCCGGCTGTTTACTCTGACCATCTCCGACCTCCCAACCCGGCCTCAGGGATGAACGCCACATCCGGCCGCTTGCCCCTGCTGACTGCCACTGCGATGGATACCGGCTCCAAACCTGCCGATGACATTGCGAGTCCAGACTTCATGAGCAGCCTGGTTTTCTGAAACATGGTTCTGGGCGTGTGAGGTTGCACATAAGAGCCTCGTCGAGAAGTTATACAAGGATTGAGTCCCTGCACCGCCCGGTCACCGCGAAACAGAGAGGGTCATGACGGTCATGACTTGAAAACAAGTGAGTGCTGGCAATCCACACTCCAAAATCAAATGATGCCAACAAATGCTTAACTTTGAAGGGGACTGACAGCCACTAGACGCATGACATGCATCCTGACTTGGCGATGGGCTACGGTGGGCTGAACGTGGCTGCGTCCACGTCGAATGAAGAACATGGCTGCAGTCTTTCTGCTGTCATCTGTATGTTTGTACACATGCATGTGTGTGTATATATATAGGTATATGTTTTTACATTATCCATATGTATATGTAAACACGAACCTTCCCAACTACCTGCACACCTACCTGATGCTACCTGCATCCCTACATACCTATGTCTGTACGTATGACGTATGCATGCACTTATGTCTTGGAAAAGTCCTGGTATGCTTAAATCAAGTCTTAGACATCCAGGGCTACATGTGCACACGGACTGGGGCGTGGGCTGGTGCACAGCCTGGTTCTCCAAGTTTATACATGCTATGCATAACGAACAGAGAAAGGGGGCAGGCAATCACTTCTCTTTTTGACGGCGTAGGTTGCAGTGTCGGTGCGTTGCGAAGCAGGGTCTGGAGTAGAAAACAGCAGAGCGTGCTGAGCTTACTTTCCCGGGCCGCGCAGGAGGGGAGGCAGGGCAGGCGGGGCAAAGCAAAACGTACATACTCGGCATTGATGTGCGTTTTGGATTTGGCCAGATTTCTAGACCCAAGGAATGGTTGTTTTTGGCAGACCAGCGCAAAACGCACATACCCGTCGCTGATGTGCGTTTTGGATTTGGCCAGATTTCTAGACCCAGCCAATGGTTGTTTTTTGAGAGCAAAACACACATACCCGTCACTGATGTGCGTTTTGGATTTGGCCAGATTTCTAGTCCCAAGCTATGGTTGTTTTTTGCAGGACGCACCAGCCACCCACTGAGATGACGCACGGCTAGACGCACCAACCCCCAGCACCTTACGCTTCCACGCAGGAGCTTGGGTGTTTTAAGCATACTAGGCCCTTAGCAACTCGTTTATGCATGTATGTTTGCATGCATGTATGTACATATGTGCGTACGTATGTATGTAATGCAGCATTTGCGGATGTATGTATGCATGCATGCATGCATGCATGCATGCATATGTACACTCATACGTACACACGCATATATATCTATATACACACACACTGACTGTGTATGTGTGTAGGTATGTAGGAACGTATGTATACATGTATGCATGTATGTATGCATGGTTGTAGGTATGCATGCACAGAAAAATGTGTGTGTGTATGTATGTATGTAGGTAGGTAGGCAGGTAGGTAGATAGGTAGGAAGGTAGGAAGGTAGGAAGGTAGGAAGGTAGGAAGGTAGGAAGGTAGGTAGGTAGGTAGGTAGGTAGGTAGGTATGCGTGCATGCATGTGTTCTTTTGGATACGTATGCGCATGCTGTTGCATATACACTTACTACGTCGGACGGCCGACAGCCATTGGAATTTCAAAGTGACTTGCAAACACGCGCGTCCCGAAAAGCTGATTTCAAGTGTCCTGAAAAGTGTCTAACAAGTCGATTTGAAAGTGATTTGGGAAACGAAATAACTCAAAGTTGGCAGGGCGAAGAGTGAAATCAAAGTGATCGGAAGGGGGGGGGGTGCGCACAGATCTCCGTCTCAAGCACGGATTCAGTAGAGTCACTATCTCTAAAGCAAGCCTTAGTGAATCCTTTCAAGGTATGGAAAACCTCGGAGATCCAACATGCAACTCCCAAATCGCTTTGAAATCACTTTGTCAAGCCTTCACTTTTGCAGGTTTTAAATCAGTTTGAGAGCGCTTGTTGGGTCCTAGATCGCAGAAAAGACTGGAAAACTGATTTTGTGTGATGTGGGACCCCCCTAAAAGTCAATTCAAAGTGATCTGCGTCCCGAAATAGCGATTTCCAAGTGATCTGGGGCCTGTAAACGCGATTTCCAAGTGATCTTGCTTCAAGATCGCGTTTTCGAGTAGCCGCTTTTGCGAATGTCCCACATAACTTGTCAAATCACTGTTACCCGGTGCACGAGAATCCAATTCACTTTTTCACGCACTTGCTTTTCACTTGAATAGTTGTTCCAAGCCATCCCACGGTTGGCTGAGCACGACGTCGTAAATATACACATGCTCCTGCATATGCATGTCGATCTGGCTGTGTAGATTTGTCACTATTGAACGGTCGGCAAGCTTCCGCCATGTCCTCTCAAGTGCCCCAGCTAACAGGAGGCGTGCACTCGGAACAGCAGCGAAACACAGTCGTGCTGCTGATGCTCAAAGATGTGCGCAAGAATGTTGGCATTAGGGGTATCGCAAGCTGTGGCCAATGGTTGCCCCATGTGGTCTGTCGGGAGCTTCCCCGTGGACCAGAATCCACATTACGACGGAGGGCAGCCACTCTGGAAGGTGTTCTAGTCAGGGACTTGCCCGACACCCAGCAGTCAGAATAAAGGAATACGCTCAACAGACATGCTACTGCTACTAGCAGTGCGAGGCCTAACATCAACAGAAATGATGAGTAGCGAATCCAAAATTTAGAATATCAAAACATGCTGCAGAAGGAGCAAAGCCTCAGAACTTTATGCTCTCGCTCTCGAAGCAATGTTGGCTTCCAAGTCCAATAGCCCTCAGTGCAAAACCCCACGTAGGCCTGAGCCCTCGTACGGGATGCGCCGCGTGATGAGCTCGAAAAGGCAAATACCATATGAATAGACGTCGACCTGAGTGTCGAAGTGACTGCTCGGGATTTCGCACTACTTGAAGATTCTCGGGGTTTTGGGTCCAGTCGAGGAGATGTTCCTGGAAGCAGGAAGATGCAGGGATTGTAGGGCACTTTTGATGCCCTCCGTCTGGCAGGGATGCCGGGTGCCTTGCTCAGTGCGCGCGGTGTGTGTGTGTGTGGGTGTGTGTGTGTATGCGCGTGCGTGTGTGTGTCGGTGTCTGTGCGCGTGCATGTGTGCGTGTGTGTGCGTGTGCATGTGTGCATGTGTACATGTGTACATGTGTGCGTGGGCGCCGGCCTGCCTGCGTGCCTGCGTGCCTGCGTGCTTGCCTGCCTGTCTGTCTTCCTGCGTGCGTGTGTGCGTGCGTGCGTGCGTGCGTGATTTTGTTCTCTTTCTGTCTGTCCGTCTGTCTGCCTGTCTGCGTGTTGTGCGCGCAGCATAGCAGATGCTGGAGTCCTGCCATCTGCAGCCAGCCAGGCGGGGGCTTCGCTGCAACATCGATGTGGCTAGGCACAGAACATAAACTATGGCTATGGCAAAGACTCTGTTTCATTCCGCGGAAGGGCTTTCGTTTAACGGTGCGGGCGTCTGCTACGAACGGCTCCGCGCCTGCGAGCTTCTGCCCCATTCAGTTCATGATTAAGCACTTTAGCACCAAACCTCATGCCAGTTCCGAAGCCTTTTCATGTTTAGGCCAGGTCCCGAGCTTTTTCGTCGTAGCCTTGGCCAGACAAGACCTGTCAAAACAAGCCATCAAACGAAACACTAGCAACATGGGACTTGTTCCATATCCACTCTCGGATGTCTGCACCCAGAGTGCTTGATCTGAGTGTGAGTCCATTCTTCTATGGACGGCCTTTGTGCGAGTTGTCTAACAACAACCTGGAGTCTGCCCAGGCATCCGACACACCTTTTGACCTCTCAAGCTTCGCCCCTCGTGCTGCGGGGACGCCTCTGGAGCCATCCAGTGGTAGGTTCCAGCACCATTGGTCATCACGGCCTCATGTCGTATGCGATGGTTTGCACCCGGTTTAGCTGCTGAGAAGTCAACATTCAGCTTGAGACTCGGGACTGTAAGCATCTGTAAGCACACAGTGACACCGTCAGCAACAGCACCAATGAGCAGGCAGAGGTGACCTACTGCCTGACCGGGCGAAGGACAGGCAGTAGGTGTGTCCGCATCAATGGAACAGAACTTGTTCTGGGTTCTCTTCAACTCTTCTTCTTGTCTCTGATTCTCTGGCCCGTGGTGTGGCAACTGCCACTGCGATCCGGCATGTCGCAAAGATTGGGCCCGCCGTGGTTCGAACATTCCAGATGTCACAGTGCTTGCTGCAAATACTCAATTTTGGGAACGGAACAGGAACAGTACAATAAGGCCTAATCTAAACACGATAGTTGAATGAGATAAAGAGACCCCTACATTATCTGTATTTCTTCTCGTTTCGAGTGTGTGGGATGGGAGACCCTAGAACTCTCCGCTCTGAGCTTTTTGCAAGATAATTGAATCTGATGGCTAGAGCCATCATGGTGTAATTCGAATATCTAACATAAAGCAATGCGTTCACTTCCACTAACCACTGCCGTCGGGGTCGCCCTACTCTTCCGCGACCTACATCGAAGGGTTCAGCTGAGTCCGGCCTGTGTCTAACCTGTCTAACGTCTTTTATAAACGAATGAATGCATCTTTACGATGACACTTGCACTACGATTTTCGGATTCTTATCGCGTGTTACGTGGCGCTTCTGCTACGTACACCTTTTGCTAGCCTTGCCGAACACAACTTTTGCCCATTGCAGGCCTGCGCCGCATCGGGGCGGAAGGCACGCGACAGGCCAAAGTCGGACACCTCGTGCTCCCATGCTAGTAGGCCCAAGTCGTGAACAAGTCTTCGGCCGCCTTTGGCGGCAAGCGTTCAAAACCCGAAGCTCTGGAAGAAATTGCTCGCTTCCGGGGAGCGCTCTGGCCCCAGCGAATGCCAGTTCCCAGCCATAAGGGTTTGCAATCCTTGGGTGTCACGGTCCTCGGAGTCCTCGAACTCTGGATTTGCTTAGAATCGAAAGTTTGCGGAGGAAGCGCCTCATCAAACCTCGGCCCCAAACTTCAACGGCTACATGTGGGCGCCTTCACGCCGGGAACATCATCGGACCCACGGATTGGGCAGGCCAGGAGCAAGTTCAGCGATTTCAGGTCTCTGTGGACAACCTGCTGGCTGCTTACGTAGGGGCCGTCTTGAGAGGGCAAACCCAGGAGGGTAGATTTGCTTCAACCTAAACCCTGTAGCCCTGAACCCTAAACCCCTGCACCAAACGTGACAACTGGAACCCTGTGGGGGACGGGGTCGGGCCTGCCGCCGATGGAGGAAGTTCATCCCCTGGCAGAAACGCCACAAGAAGCTACATGACCAACTCACTCGACCACTCAGCCCCACCATCGGCTCATCCCCCAACCTTCGCCACGTCCAAGGCAATCGGAAGCCGCTGGGGCCAAGGGAGCGACAAATCGCGCCGCTGATGAAGCAAGGCCTCGTGCCAGAAAACTCTGGGCCAGAGGTCGCCAAGTCTGGAAGTACACGTTTTCTTCCCAGTGGCAGGCTGGACGTACCAAAACTCCATTTGCACTAAAGTTGGCTCCGAAGCCACAAGGTATCAGTCTGGTGGATGCTCGCGCGATGCTTCTGCCAAGCGTGCATACCCGATGTTGATTGAGATCTGTCAGAGGATGGGCTTTGTACACCGTCATTTTATTTTGTTACAATGACTTGGTAGCCTCCGAACCAAAGCTTTTCCTCCGAGTTCTGGCAAAGCCCTGGAGTCGTGCGGCGAAGATCTCCGTTTTTCTTGCTGGCACGAAATACTTGAATGAACATGAGGCACCGCCGCTTGCGCCCGCAAGTAAGGCTCTGACGAAGACGGTCCCACCAGAGCAGAATTCTGAGATGATCAAAGCTTGAGGAGCCTCCAGGGTCTGCATTCAGACAGGACGAGTTCCTCTCTTCGTCGGCAGCGGACAAAAGGTTTCTCTACTTCGAGATGCAGGGCTTGTGCATGCAGCCTCGTTTCACTCACCATCACTTTCACCGAAGTCCGCAAGCGCTCTGATCTGCAATCCCACAACATTATCTTTTCCCGCTCCTTGGTACATGCGCCCATGAAGAGCACCAAATTCGGGTGTCGCCTGGTGCTTATCAGACTGCAGGGCTGCAAACATGTGGGCTTGTTAATTGTAACCATGTAACGATCGTGAGCATCTGAGAATCTTTGCTACGAGCTCTGAAGCTGCCTGGATGGTTTGAGGCTATGAGCTTTGAAGACTCTTCTTTACAAGCGTGTTTTCGCTGTGACCCAGACAAGTTTGAATCTTGCGAAACATAAGCCTGACTGAAAACCACATTGCATGTCTTTGCACCCAGACAGTGTTTTCAACAGCACGACATAGCACGCCTCCATGATACTATGTCGACCCGTCTGTCTCAGCTAATGGTACGGTGCATCGCTTAAGGTCCAGGCAAGCGGAGCAGCACTGAGATCTCACGCTTGAATTCGGTTGAAAGTTGGCCTGCAGGCCGGAAGGAAGATGAAACTAAGGCCGGATTTGGGATTCACGAGGGGTGAACAATGTGAACACTTACTCCAGCACCTGCTCATACAAGTCTAGCTGACACGTAGAGGCTCGAGACATACCGATCTCTGCCGTCTTGGCCTTTGGATCGCAACTTCTTTGCGGCCACATCGGTTCCATGCCATGTTGCCCGGTACACCTGCGTTTCGCTGCTGCCAGGCAAAGGATCTGAACGGTCTTGAAAGAACAGCCTTCAAGGTCTACCATCCCCTTAATTACGTGTTTCTTTTGCGTTCCAACTCCGAGCAATTTGCTCATGCCCTGGGCCCTCCTCCGCCGTGCTGCCGGTTCCGATAAGCTCTTCCAGGCACACCTCCTTGGAGGGCTTGTTGCAAAGGCTGAATCTACAATCAAAGGACTTGACAAACTTCTGCGAGGCCAGGCAGAGCAGATTCCGATTCACAGTTCAGAACTGTAGTGTTTTCAGCAAAAGCGCCGATTGGTCCACCTGCCGCGCAGAACGAATCACGGAGGCGGCGCTCTTCATGCTGTAGTGCTTGTTATTGTTCGGCGTGCAACCCTGAATCCCCGAGAGATTCAGGCCGTTATGAATGCGAATGAATGCGCTAATTCGATGATCCAGAGAAGGTCTTGGGGCAACACTTGAACAAGGTCTTCCAGCGCAACAAGCAATCTCGTGGTTCCATCTTCCGAAGCCCTCGTCGTGCCATGCAGCAGCTGTCCCTCTTGCTGTGCGCCCCAAATTCGCAATCAAGTAAGCCCCCTTCTAAGTTAAGAGTTCGCCTCCCATTCAGCGACGCAGGGTGGAGTAGATGTGTCCTGTGCCGTGATGAAGGCGCAGTGGCTCAGCAAGCCCTTGTTGCAAGCCTGTGAAACTTGCATAACCGGCATGATGCTTCACACAGCTGACTCTTCACCTATTCACGCCTCAGACACGCATGCTGACTGTCGAGAACTGTCCCGCCCTGCCCTCCCTGAGAGAATCGTTGGCACTTTTACCACATGCATAGGCATGGGGTGCAAAACATCGTTGAGACAGACCATCCAAAAAACGATGTCTTGCCGAGTGTGTGTGTGTGTGTGTTGAACTTTCTGGAGCCTCAACGGCAGATCCTGACTGATGCCACCATGCATTGTCAAATTGCGGTGTGGAATCTCATCACACAGAGGCATCATCTAGACGGACCAAGGCTGCGTGACACACCTCTAGAGATCCAACATTCTGCCTCCTATCATTGAATCCAGACTCAGACATTGTGGCTCTGTCCTGCCGAGGGGTCGGCGTGGGCGCTGGCACTGGCAATGGAGCCTGGTGAATCGTGGCCGGCTACTAAAGGGCCGGAAGAGGCAATATTATGTCAATGGCAAGTAGTACCAGTGCCACTACGCTGCTGTCTTCCATGGGCAGGACCTGTGTTCGATTTGGCCAAGGCCACTACCATGTAATTTACTGACACGCCGCCGCTGCTGTAAACTCGCGGTGGACTATGGGGAGGAAACAGAGCTGCCATTCAATGTCAATCTGCCTGCGAGAGCGGTGGTGGCTCACCAGCCACACCTCGAACCATCGGGGCTAGATTCCAAATAGCATCCACACACCAGCTGGCACTCGCTTGCCTCCATGAATACCACAACCCGCAAACTGCTGTCTCTGTTCACGCTCGCCAGAGTCCCCTTGAGCTGAGATCGCGACGCACCCTTGCCTGCTCGACTTTTGGTGGCTTCGAAGGCTGGCAACTTCAGTTTGGTGTACCATAGGCATTTGTGGCACCAGACTTTGGCCAGGGGAGGCCCTGTGATATCCATTTCAACCTCAATCATCACTCTGACGTACCGAATTCCACTTCGAACTCTGTAAGGAGACCAGTTGCTCGTTTTGAACCGATTTCTCGAGACCTGCTCCGGCTGGCAACGTCAGTCGCGCTGAATGCTGCTGGCTCCAGCTTTGCTGCGTCGCTCAGACTCCGAGGGCAGCAGAGCACGTGCCGAAAAGAAAAGAAACTAGGCACCGAAAGCATCCTTTTTGAAATGCTGTCGGCTGAGAAGTACCCCCTGCGCAACAAAAAAACACATCTAGATTGCCCAATTCCTGCAACACGAGTGGCGGCTGTGTTTTCCCTAGCTTCTTCATGCTTCTTCGTAGAGGCGCATGGCATCTGAACTTAAGTCGCCATCGCACGACTTGAACCCCGGCAAGTCCTGAAGGCCGTCGTCCTAATTGTTGCAGGGCAACATCCTCGGCCGTCATTTCAGCACCCAAGCGGTGCTTAGCTGCCGTCCCTGCCGAAGGCCCGAAGCACCTGAGCAACGCAACAGCTCCCACGCGTCAATGTGCAATTGCATCCTGGCCGTACAAACTGTAGCCCCAGACATAGACAAACCGCTTGACAGGATGTTCATTATGCCATCTCCGTCTGCGCAGCTTCTTTTCGGACCCTCTGCAAACGATGGCACAATACTGCAGCGTGCGGCATTGCGCACAATAATGTGGGCAAAAATGCATGGGCACTCCTTTGCGTTTTCATCATTTGGATGTAAGATCCAGCTAGCAGCGATGTGCGATAGCCCAAGACCTCTCTCTTTTGGACATGCTCGACTCAAACCTCGTCGTGACAGCTTCAGCCTTACTAGTACTCAAGGTGCTCGGATTAGCTGTTGCCTGCAGAGCTTCGACTTTTTGCTTTTTGGCGCTTTCTCTTTTCAGTTTTGCAAGTCAATTTGGGCACATTTGCATTGCAGCACAAAGCCCGAAGTTCGAATTGAACACTGAGCCTTGGAAACTTGCACACCTGTCCGCAAGACCAGGATCACAAACGACAGGAAGATGCGATTGATGCACCATGCCAATCATAAACTCGTTGATGACAAGAGCTCTCAGAACGTAGCGATACTGTAACATCTCATGCCACCGGTCGGGTTGCCTCTTCAGCAAACAGTTCTTGCAACGCCGGGCTGAAAAGATCTCAAAGTCCGCTTGGCCAAACTGATTGGGTTTGGCGTGGGTCGATGGGTCTATGCACGCATGCACACTCATCTTTGATGTCATGTCCAAACAAGGACTCAAACAAGGCATGGTCTGCGCCGTGTTTCCTCAATGAAGCTTCGCGGCATGTATAAAACAAGGTTCGCGTACCAGAACCCACAGAAAGTCCGGAACCTGGACCCCTACCCCGCTCTGCAGGAAAGCGTCCCTGTGTTCCAGCTGCCGGAGGGCCGCAGACATGTTGACCGGTGGCTTCGTGTGAAGCGGAACCTCTCAAAGAATCGCCACCGTCAAATTTCATGAACATGGGAGTTGCAAAAGAGCGAAGGACCCACATCTTACAAACACCAAATCCCAAGCAGCAGGATCGTTAGTATACACAGACCACTATACCACTATACAGGAGCTTCAATTTAAGAAACCTCCACCAGGTTGCTGCTCTGACGGAAAGCGCCTGGTGCGGCTGCCGCTTCGTACCGTTGGTTCGGCCTGGGTTCCCGAAACGGTCAGGCCAGACTCAAGCGGTGAAGTTGCACAGAGGGAATATCCCAGCGTAGCTCTACCCCAAGCAACGATCACGGATTGATGCTGACAGTGGCTGAGTTTGACTGGCACTAGATCCTGTATATCCCTGTGCATGAGTTCAGCATCCCAAGTTTCTGAAGTTTGCGGAATGCAACTGCTTGAAAATCATGAGCCAGCCTTGCCGGACCTTTGAAAGTTACGGTTCTGCAGCTGCAAGAGGCTGAGCCATCCGGATGTCGCTCGAACCAGGACCGTAGAATTAGAACGTCTCTTATCCAAGCCACTGTATGTCCGCCGTTTCTCGGAGCTTCGAGAAGCGTTCTGCCTCAGCACACGCTCTGATGCTCCGTGCAGTCTGGCATCGCAAGAAGCCACAGACAAGTTGCGGATCGCCGAGGGCGCCGGATGCGCTGGGCTCGGGCTTCCCTGGCAGAGGCAAAGTGCGCGGCTCTGATGAGCTGTCGTGGACCACTTGGACAAAGCCGCAGTCAGTGCTGGCTTCGCGGCATGCTCGCCCAGAGACCAAGTGACTGGCAACAATCGAAGCGTTTTAACTTACTTAACGGAATAGCCCGGCAGTGCTTGAAGCATCTGATGCCCACAGATCTGAAAGATCTGACATGGAGCTACAAGATTTTGTACGGAATGGTATCTGACACCCAGGCCCAACGACAGGAGCGAACTCCAACTCGCACTGGCATGTCAAGATCTATTCAGGCCCATGCAGAAGCCTTGATGACTTTGTCCTCTTGTCACTGTGCGCGCCTCCAGCTTGCTCACGTGAAGCGCAAACATGTACGAGATGCAAGGGCTTCACAGAGCTGCTTCTGGATGTGCAAACAGCGTAGTAGGGCTTTGGCCTCTCTAGACTTCGGCATCCAAATCTCCGGCCCGGTCATCTCTTCAGCCTTGCATGCCGAGAGTGCAGGTCGGCATATTTCAAGCATCAAGCTTTTGTTGAAATCCTCGCAACGGCACGATCTCAGGTGCGTGTGCATGTCACATTGAACGCGCGACCTTGCAGGACCCTCGCCCTGCCCTGGGTTCTTTCCATTGCAACCGTGCAGCCAAGACGGCCGGCATTGTCATCCACTTCTCCTGCTGTGCATTCCATCTGTGAGAAAAGGTTGGAAGGCTCCACGACAGAGTGGAATGACTTGGAGGAGTACGACACAGGGAAATCTTGGCGCAATGTGTGCCAGCGCACGGAGTGTTCCTCTCACGAGGGATGCCCGAGCTGCACTCTGCGTTTAGTTGGGGGCGTCTTTCATGGGCCGAAGCTCCTGATCCTGTAAGACCAGAATCCGGATCGACGAGATGGGGCCGTTTGCAAGGACCTCAGCTTGGCACCTCCGACGCTGCGAAGAAGGGACTATGTTGCATTGGAGCCCAAACCCATCCAGACCAGCAGCGTTGTGTGGGGCATCACAGATACCACGATCGAAGCTGCACAGAGCGACCCACGATCGCTCGCGTTTTCCGGTCGCGGGGTCCTGCCCGACATCTAAGTTGGACCTGTTTCGAGAGCGAAAGTTGACAGAACGTCCCAAAGCGGCATGCTAAATCCACGAAATAGTCCTGCGACCACTGCATCACCTTCGTCATGCCTTTGAGAAGTTGATCACCTGGTCGGTCCTGGACTATGTGCGTACTGCAAGTGTCTTGGTCACATAACAAAGGCCCAGATCCGTGCATGTTCCGCTCAAGTCAAACATGTCGACTTCTGCGCTGAGGAGTGTCTATAGCACATGACTTTTAGAAGCTCTTATGGATGCTGAACTGTGCCCGGACTTTCCATGCGACATTCGCTGTGGCCGGGAGCATTGATCATGGAAGGCTGCCGCCCTCGAGGCGACTGACACAAGCTTCTTAGCGTTGGAAAACATGCGACTTCAGAACTGCAGCATGGACTGTGCTCTGATTTCGGGAACGAGATCTGCTGCACATCTTCGGGTCCTTGGAGCCCGTCTTGATCGTAAGCCGGCGAAGCCTCAACATCTGGTCGATGGTCTCATTTCCAAGTGTATCCGGAGTACCGGACAGGGACTCAGAAAGACCGGAGCAACAGATGACAGCTCTGGAAGAGGAGGTTTGCAGGATATGTCTCTAGCCGCTAAGCTTGCGTTCGAGTCCGAACCACTAGAGATCAGCCGTCGGGCTCTATGGGAATGAACTTCCAAGGTGGTAGAGGCTAAGTTCTGGTAATTTGATGCAGTTGGCAGAAATAAAAGTCTGAGAGACTATACAATATGCCTTCTTGGCACTGTCCAGATTCTGTTAGGAAGTCTCCAAGAGGTGATGGCAACTTCCACGCAGCTGAGCGACCACTTTGCGGAAAAGCTGGCATCATTCCCCTTGACGAGGCCGTGGTGCTGGCTGTCCTGTTCTAACGAGGCCACATCACGACCCGACGCCTGGTTTGTAGTGCCCAGAATGCCCAAGTGCAGGCCTCGGCACGGAAGGTGACGTCCATGTAGTCGCCGGCCTGACTTGGGTCGAATTTATGGGGGCACGACATTCAGGAGAAGGCCAAGCATGTCCTGCTTGACGGCTTTGTGAGCTGCAAGCGGCCTTGGGTGCGACGGCCCAGAAGTAGCTCTCGTCACTGGTGTCGATGGCACGGTCTTGGCAGGTACGGTCCCATGGTCTTCGTTGCACAGGTATCGGCGGTCAGACCAACGGCTAATTGTACCGCCTTCAGAAAAGGCTGGAGAGAACGCTTCCTTGGTTTCCCGGTTGTCTGACGGGTCACAGGACTTGCAGAGCAGCACTCATTTCGGCCAGGTAACCATGCTTGACGAGATCGTTGCGTTCTTGAATACCTGGCGCCGCTCTTGTTGTACTCGACTCAACTCTGTTTTGGAGCACAGACTGGGAAACGGCGTCGCAAACAGTCTAATGTTCTGAACCAGACCAATGATGGAGCACTTACCACGGACCATAGAGCTGCACGAAGTCTTGTTGTAGTGCTCGCAGTCTAGCTGTTCTTATCAAAATGCTCCATTGCAGCACGCTACCCCTTGCAGCGCGTACGCCGCCGGGCAATCCCTCTCCCGATCGATCGATATTGATAGTATCTGATGCGCTCATGACCAAATTACGGCTAGCCGAGGGGTTGCCAACCGGGGACTACTGGCACAAAGGTTCGCACCGACAGGAGATAGATAGATATATACATAGAATCTTACGGGCTCCTGCACTAGCCGGGTGACCCCTAACTGCCCGGAGCAGTTACCTGACGGGCGCAGGTTGACAAGGGGGGGCGGAGTGTTGGGTAGATAGCGTCAGATCAGTCGCCTAACCTGCGGCTACCCTGATGCGAATAGATAATACCTGACGGGCCGCATCACATGATCTCTAACCTCTAACCGGCAGGTATGTGCCGGTCTGCCATGTCCGCTGTATGTGCCAGAGCGAGCATGTGTCCAGCTGTATCATGAGGGACTATTGAACGAAAGCAGCGACCAATGTGTGCCAAGTCTTCCAGAATAGCAACTCCATAAACGAGCTTGAGGGAGCATCCTTCTCTTTACACCCATTTCTCTGCCAGCGCACCGGGCTCCGGATGCTCTCCATCGGCTCGAATCGTCCGCAAGCGAAGCCCAGGTCTGTGCTGAGCAGCCTTACATCCCAAAGTGGTCTGAGAAAGTCGCTGTTACTGTATGGACCTCAATACGAGGGGCTGCACCGAGCACCGACACGTCGTGAAATGGGGGGGGGGGGGCGGCGATGCATCGCAGCAACGCAGAATGTGTGGGGCAAGACGTGGCGAGTCGAAATCACGGGCTACCCATGCAGCAGAGTGGAGAGGCTGCATGCCTTGTCGAGAAAATGTCAACCTGCCATCCTTGATATGAAGCGAAAGGACAACCCAGTCAGCTCTCACCACTGGACAGGAAAACCACTTCGCCAACCACACCGAGCGTGAACACCTCCCGCTTCCCTACCCGTTATGCCCTCATATCTTTGCTCCCTCCCTCCCTCCCTCCCTCCCTCCCTCCCTCCCTCCCTCGATGCTGTTTCGAAGTCTGCTAAACGAAAAGGATTATCACGTAACCCTTGACAAATCTACATATCCATAACATTCCATAACTCTTGCGCCAGAAAGGCTTCTGACAGTGGCAGTATGTATGCCCCTGACGGAAACAAGCCTACGGGTGAAAGGTGTCAGCCATCTTCACAAGGCCCGCCTGGTATGCGTGCAACGCCTTGTAATCTAGGCTGGCCCAATGAGTCCAATCACGGCAAGAGGCCCCTGAGGACTGCAATGTGCTTTGGCAGCCGTCAAGAGGTCCTGTCCAAAATCAGGGTGGCATTTGGGGTCTGCAGGTGGAGACTGTGGCCTCATCCAAGGCCCGTGGGTGCCTTGCGTCGACGATACCTGGCACAGCACACCCCTGGCTGCTGGCTGTGCGGAGTGATATAAGTGCTGCATTGGATACCTCCCCACAACCTCTCTGCGATGCCCAGGTAACGAGGATAGACCTGCAAGGCAGCAGCTCTGGTCTTGCGGATTTTCCAAAGGGGTTGGACCGCTGGGTCACGGCGATTGATAGGAGACAGCGAAGCAACGATACGACCAGAGAAACACACTCCTTGCCCGAGCCATTTTAAATTTGCCCTACATCTTCCGAACAGTCGGCGAGTCTCCGCGACCTCAAATCGCGGCACAGACTGTGGTGTTGGGGTGGCTTGTCTTGCCAACATTTACACAAGTAGTTGGGGCATGAATGTGTCATCATGCCTTCAGGTCGAATCCCCAGTCTTCCAACTGAAACCTTGATCCCTCCCGAGTCGTTCTTGTGACCACTTCATCCAGCCCGCCTTCGCCCCGACAGCGTTAGGCACAGTGTCTTCGGTCCACATCGTGGCACATCCTCCTGCATGACACAGCGGCTTCTGAGTCAAGCTTCGGAATCTGCGCATTTCTGTTGAAGCTCCAGACCCCAAGTGCACCACGACCACGGGGTCCCAGCATTCGAGGGCCAGTCGAAGGCAGCATCTCCAGGGTGCGGTTGAAGTCAATGGAAGCCAGCGGATAGTCAAGATACCTGAGAAAACATCTCATGGATAAAAGACAGGGTGTCCACGTGCCAGGAGGCCGAAGGGCCGAAGGCTGACATGCGCAGCTGGAAGCCTTGAAGATCCTTGAACCATGGCATGCTTCCTTCCTTGCGCCCAGGCTCGCCACCTTCATGGAAGAAGAGATGCTCCGAAAGGGGAAGGTCGGATCAGCGGCCTCGGCGAGATGCAGGATCGGGCAAAATACGACTCCGTTTCGTTGGTCTCTGGGCATTCGCGTGGCAAGGTAAGGCCAAACATGTCTTCTCGAGCCAAGCCATCAACCACATGTGTCTCATGCAGGATTTAAATCGCATTTTGCGATGAGTTGTCAAGTGAGGAAGGGGGAAGGGATCTCCCTACCACCCGTCACGGCCGAGGCGACGCTCGTGCCAGCCATAACCTCAAACTTGCTCGGCACGAAGAGTTCAGTGCACCGGAATTCGGCGTGGTTGTAATCAACCACGGGCACGAGACCACGAGTGTTACTCTACGGGAAATGCTGTTGCGTTGTGAGTAGCTGTAAGAGATCGAACTAGAGACACAGTCTCGCTTTACGGGATTCAGGCGCAGCGAAGATGTCTCTCAGACTATCATGAAATAAGACACGAATACTGTGGGTGGCATGTGAACACACAGCGGGAGATTCTGGACTATGGCATCCGACAGGATCCATAAGATGTGACAAAGGGAGTATGTGTCCTCATGATGGGGAAATATGTTTTAGCTAACCCATGGCAAGCAGAAGCTCGGAATCTATGGTCTTTCCTGGGTGTGGCAATGGAGATAAAGTTTCGGCTCGACCTCCTTGCCGCAGCAGGTGAAGGCAAACCAGCATGTGCACAAGGTTTCGAAGTCCGAGCCACAGCGAGAGCCAGCTCACAAGAGCATACACATGGGCAAGGGATGCATGTTGTTCCAGTGCACTACAAGCATCTCAACACCGTTCGATGTCAACGACTGGGCAATTCCGCAGATCTCTTGGGGAACGCGTTTTTGAGGCTCTGCGCTCCCTATCCAGGTTCATTCAGCCTCCGGCCATCCCGTCGCCAACCGGTGGCTGCATCTTCCATGCTTGGACAATCCAGTCCTCTCACATGGAGCATGAGTTTGTCTTTCGCGTTCGCAGGGTTTATGTGGCATGTGGTAACGGCACAGCGGATGCTGCCTCCTCAGCATTCGGACACAGTCTCGTGCACCACGGCCTGTTCTCAAAGTGGTCGTCCCACCTTGGGAACTCTTCCCTTCGTCTCAAGCTTCTCTCAGGCAGCTGAATGCTTTGCGGAATCTGGTGCTCGTCTCCCATTGCCTTTAGACTTCAGGAGCCTGCTCGAACTAATTCCAAGGTGCATGATGGGCTGTTTGCCAAGCTCCTCTGCGCTGAGTTCAAGTCATTGCTGCTTGCACGGTCTGAACCCCGTCGAATGTACAATGTAGACTTTGACAGGCGGCAGCTGTCAGCAAGAAAGAACAACGAAGCCAGCTACATCTGGCTCCTGTTTCGTTCGAAGCTTTAGGGCTTTAGGGATTTCCGTGATGGCCATTTGAGTGCTCTTTGAGGATGATAGGCTTCAGGAGTCTACTTTGACGGGCCAGCACTACTCTGATTGCACACTGCAGAAGAAGGCAGTAGCAGGGACCGTTCGCCGAGTGGAAGAGCAAGATGACATGTTACATCATGTGTATAAACCGACCCGCAGTGCATTCGATTGCATCCTTCAGGATCTTCCCCACCGCGCAGAACCAAGCCTCACACATCCGTGCCATGAGAAACCCTAGCTTCTGGCCGCAAAGGCCTGTTGCAGTCTGCACCACGGGGAGCCGTAAGTCCCGCGTTGATTCCCTCACTAATTAAAGCGTCCAGCCAACCGAGCCTCCAAAATGTCCGGGCCCAAGTTGCGAAGCCCGGCATGGCCTGCAAAGGCCCTGGCCGAAACAGGGTTTGGGGCGATTGGGTGTGCTTGGACTCGAGATCTCGTCGGCTTTGGCCTTGAGGTTGGTAAGTATAACTCGCTGGCTTCCTTTCTGATCCCCGTGCTTACGAAAATCTTGGGCTGTTATCGGTTTTGCCGGTATTTCCACAAGACGATTTCGGGAGCTACCCGTAGGACATTAAATTGCCGACTGGGCTTCTTTCGTGCCCTCACCCGGACCCGTCTGCCCTGCCTCACATGCTCACTTTCCTGCCATGCATCGAACACGGCCTCGTCGCCGCCGACATGAATGTACCTGGCACATCCAGGGACACACATGCTCTGGCCGGATGGATAGCAAAGCCCAACTCTTTTCCTTCGCCCCTGGCCCCGCTTCGCACCTGCCGGGAAAAAGCGCCGCAACGTCTGTGAGAACATCTGCGGCGAACTGCAGGGTAGACGCCTGCGCCAATGCAGGGACGTGAATACATAGACTGGGTCCTGTGGGACCTTCATGCTATGAGTCTACTTGGTAAGGTTATCGGATCTTGATGCAACTTTGAACCTTGCTTTTGAGATGCTGTTGAACTCGGTGCTTCTGCTGAAGAGAGCCTTGCCTTGCCAACGCAGAGGAGTTCCTGGAAGGCGTGACTCTTCAATTCTAGCTTGTGAACGAAACCCATGAGTTTAGACTATCAGAAAAAACAACAGGAGAGCACAAAATACGGGCCGTGTTTCGCACCTTGCCAGAAAAGGTGACATAACGACAAACGACCGAGGAAGGCCATCCTACTAGGGCTTGGGGGTTTGGGAACCTCAGCCCACCATCTTGTTTCAAATTTCGGGGATTTGGTTTGCCACCCTTCATCTCTTGCCAGAGTTTGGGGTGTTGGATTTTTGGTTTTTCAGCCTGTCTTTTTGAAGGGTTTTGGCTGTGGCACCCGGTAGCGTTCTTGAGTTTAGAGTTTAGAGTACAATCTTTCGGGGCAGTTTTTAGCGTTGAGGGTGTCGGTTTTCAGGCTTGCCAAGCCATCATTTCCAAGTAGGGTTGGGGGCTTTCGGAACCCAATAATCCTGCTTAGGGTTGAAAGTTGGCCATACATCACATCTTATGAGGTTCGGTTTCTGCCACTCACCAATCCCTAGTAGGGCTTGGGATATGGGGACGCAGAGCCAAGGTTGTTATCTCGAATGCACGATCATTTTCAGGGGCTATGGATTTGCCATTCGTCATGCCCGTTTGGGTGTCGGGGTCTTGAAGAACCAGTCACCCCTAATTAGGGTTTTAATTTGTGCGATCAACCCACCACTTTCTGCATCTGTGTTTGCCACTACTCTCAGTGGGAGAATCAGCCAGCTGTTCCACTCGAAATCACGGTCCCGTATTCCGTGGCACCTCGATGACTGCCCGCGAGTAGGTCCTTGTAAATGCCCTCGCGGGAGACTGGCACTTGGAAGGGGCCTGAACGGCACGCCAGCCTTAATTTGACAAGACTTCTACGAGTCACGTCGGGCACCAGGTTGAATACACAGCTGAATTCTAGCAGTTGGTGCCCTGGAACCTGGTGTGGCGGGATTCTGAGACTTGACCTGCACTCACAAAATCCTGAACATTAAAGGTTTTTGTGTTTTCTCAGGATGGGTGTACAGGATGCCTCTCAACTTCAACCGCTGCATGACGAATTCGACCTTGCATGGCCTTAGGACTCGTGAAAAAAGCCCGAAACTGTGCCCCTGCAGAGCCCAAGCCTAAGACATGGCGTCTGAGTCCACGACTCAGGGTAAACCGAAAGCACGGCAAGGACATGAGAAGGCATTTCGATCACCGGGACAACTGTGACGAAATGGCGTGCTGCAAAGTCCACCACCTGCAAGCGGCAGCAAAACCATGCCTTAGAAAAATTTCTGGTGCAATCTGTGCCTCCTCAAACAGTACACCCAGATAAATAGAGACAGCCGTGTCAGCACATACATGTGCACACGGGTACAGCTTCACCCAGTTATCCCTGTCTGCCTATCCATGTCTCTACCTGCGTACCTACCCACGTACCTGCCTGCCTGCCTGCCTGCCTACCTACCTCCTGCCTGCCTACCTGCCGACCTACCCATCTGCCTGCCTGCCCACCTGCCTACCTGCCTGCCTGCCTGCCTGCCTGCTGCCTGCCTACCTGCCTACCTGCCTGCCTGCCTACCTGCCTACCTGCCTACCTGCCTACCTGGACCTGCCTACCTGCCTACCTGCCTACCTGCCTACCTGCCTGCCTACCTACCTACCTACCTGCCTACCTGCCTATACCTACCTACCGACCGACCGACCGACCGACCGACCTACCGAC